CCTAAACAACATGCCTCCAGGAACTCTCTGAACCTTGATAAATGTCAGTAGTTGTAGAGGGGCTTCAGGCCTTTTGTTCATAGGGTTGCTATGTGTTCATAGGGTCACTATGAGTCGTGCTCGACTCAAAGGCAATCAACAACAATAACAGTGCCAAGAGTGTTGATTGTGGAGCCAAATACGTGGAAATTATTAACAACTTCAATCTCTTCTTTATCATAGTGCTGCTAATTGGCCCAGTAGTGAGAATCTTTGTCTTCTTGGTGTGAAGCTTCAATCCATATTGAAGACTATAGTCCTCGACCTTCTGCAGCAAACCTCTCATCGAAACCTCTTTGGTTTCAGCAAGCAGGGTTGTGTCATCTACATGACACAGGTTGTTGATGAATTTTCCTTCAATCTTGATGCCACGCTCCTCCTCATAAAGACCAGCCCCGCAAATGATCTGCTCCACACATAGATTGAAGATGTATGGAAACAAGATGCATCTCTGATTAATTCCCTTCCTAATTTTCACCCTGCAGTGTTTCCTTGCTCTGTTCTGATGACTGTCTCCTGGTTCAAGTACACATTTCACATGAGCACAATCAAGTGTTCTGGGATTCCCATTCTTCTCAGGGTTAGTCACAATTTGTTGTGATCTACACAGTCAAATGTGTTTGTATACTCATTTAAACACAGATAGACATTCCTCTGGTCTATGCTTCTGGCCAAGATCCATCTGACATGAACGATAATGTCTCTAGTGTCATGGTCTCTTCTAAACCCAGCCTGTATTTCTAGTTGTTTCTATTAATGTATTGTTCCACTCATTCCTGTATATTCTTCAGCAGGATTTTGCTTTGCTAAAACACAGGGAAGAAATCAAGAAGTTAAGAAGCATAACTGAAGATTTCAAAGGGCAGCACAGTAGGACAAATCAAAGCATTATAATGAAATGTGCACAGAACTGGAGTCAGAAAATCAAAAGGACTAAACTCAGCATTTTTCTTTTAATATGCCAAGTTCTTGTTTCATTTCTTGCATTTGAAGTGCTCTGTGCTCTTCAATGACATCCTTGACCTGGGATTCTTTGCCATTGGTGTTGTTATGTTGTTATGTGCCGTCGTGTCATTTGTGACTCATAGCGAATGTACAACAGCCCTAAACCCTGCTCTATCCTCTGCCAATGGCATTGCCTCTGACACACCCATCCTGATTACCCCAGTCACTGAATCAATCCACCTCATAGAGGGCCTTCCCCTCCTGCGCTGTCCCTCCACCCTACCAAGCATGATGTCCCTCTCCAAGGAGGTGATGTCCTCTCCTTACAACATGTCCAACGTATGTCAGACGAAGCCCCAGAATCCTTGCCTCCAAGGAGTAGCCTGATTTGACCCTTTCCAGGATGAATCTGTTTGTTTTCTTGGCAGTCCATGGTACATTCAATACTCTTCTCCAGCACCACAGCTCAAAGGCATCAATTCTCCTTCTATCCTCCCTAGTCATTGTCCAACTCTCTGATGCATAACAAGTGACTGCAAAGACCACGGCCTGTATCAGGCACACCTTAGTCTCCAGAGAGACACCGTTGCTCTTGAGTACTTTAGAGAGGTCCCTAACAGCAGACTTTCCCATCGCAATACGTGTTTTGATTTCCTGACTGCTGGTGCCAAGAGTGTTGACCGTGGAGCCAAGCAAACTGAAGCTGTGAACAATCTCAATCTCTTCACCATCCATCCTGATGCTACCAATTGGTCCAGTGGTGAGAATCTTTGTCTTCTTGACATTGAGCCTCAGTCCATACTGAAGGCTGCAGTCCTTGACCCTCTGCATCAAGTGCATGATGTCCTCCTCAGTTTCGGCAAGCAGGGCTGTGTCATCTGCATAATGTAGATTGTTAATAGATATTCCACCAATCTATAGTCCTTAAAAATATAAAACACTTCACAAATTTGCATGTCATCTTTGTGCCGGGGTCATGCTAATCTTCTCTGTATCATTCCTATTTTAGTACATGTGCTGCCTAAGCGAGCAACTCAACATTTCTTAAGCTAAAGGAACTGAAGAACAAATTCAAGCCTCGAGGTCCAATACTTAAGGATGCTATAAGAAGAATTCAGAATGACCCAGAAAGTATTAAAAGAAGATGGAAGGAGTACACAGAGTCACTGTACCACAAAGAATTGGCTGACACAGAACAATTTCAAGAAACAATATATGATCAAGAGGCAATGGTGATTAAGGAGGAAGTTCAAGTTGTTCTGAAGGAATTGGCAAAAAGCAAGTCCCCTGCAATTGATAAAATATCAATTGGCATGTTTCAACAAACAGATGCTGCCCTGGAGGTGCTCATCAGGTTGTGCCAAGAAATCTAGAGAACAATTACCTAGCAACTGACTAGAAGCGATCTATATTTATTCCTACTCTCCCCACCTCCCCGCCAAAAAAAGGTGATCCAACAGTATGGAAATTACCTAACAATATCGTTAATCACACACAAGCAAAATCCTGCTTACGATTACCTGCTGGTTACATAATTATACATTTGTTCATAAAGTGGATTCATGAGTACTTTTTTCCAGTTCTTTTCCCTTTTTTTCAAATTGAAATTTTAATGAAAGTTTATAGAGACTTTGGATTTCCATTCATACATTGTTGCACATTTTCCTCCCTGCCCACTCCCCCTCCCAGTTTCCTTTTGTCTTTGAAAAGAAAAAAAAATTATCTTTCATTGTTATACAATCCACACACACCAGTCTATTTTACTAGGCGCCTTTTATTCTGGACTCTTGTCATCATGAAAATAATACCCAATTATATATTCCTTTTAAACAGTTCTCTCCCTCATCTGTTTCAATGCAGTATACATTATTTATCCCCTCTTTTCTTTGGTTCCCTCCAACCCCAATGTCAGTCCCATAACCACTATGGAAGGCAGTATGGTGATTTCTCAAAGAGTTGGAAATAGAAATACTATTTGACCAGCAATTCCTCTACTGGGAATATACCCTAAATAAACCAGAACTGCCACCCTAACAGATATATGCATTCCCATGTTTATCATGGCTTTGTTCACAATAGTAAAGTGTTGGAAACAACCCAAGTGCCCCTCAACAGACAAACAGATAAAGAAGCTGTGGTATATTCACACAATGGAATACTATGCAGCATTGAAAAACAAGGATCTCATGAAATATTATACAAAATGGATGACCCTGGATGACATTATGCTGAGTGAAATACCTCAGTCCTGAATACTTTTAATAGAGCTCTGATGTCCTATACATAAAAAGTTGCACTTTCAACACAAAAAGGCAGATGATTCAAATTCACCATCTGCAACTTGGGAGAAAGATGATCCATTTCTTCCCAGGGTATTTCCAATTTCTAAAAAACTTCTGGAGGGTCAATATAATTTGATGGGTTGGTTTGTCTTTAAGGGTACAAAGGCCTCCCTTAAGTTTCTTTTACGTCCCTGTTTCTTCATTTAGTAAAGTTTTGTACAAATCTATGCCTATTCTCAACTATGCTTTAAATTTGCTAAGAAAGATCTTATAAAAAGTAGACACTCCATCAAGAAACGAATGGCTAGAGAAGCTGTGGTATATTCGCACAATGGAATACTATGCTGCATTGAAAAACAAGGAACTCATGCAATATTACTCAAAATGGT